TGCCAGCAGCTGGGCTGTGGCTCGGCTTCTGGTGCCTACTTTGCCCTTGACCGCTTTGGTGTCAGAGTTGGTCCCATCAGTCTTGTCCTAGTGGACTGCAGTGGGGACGAAGCCACACTCTGGGACTGCAAGATCCGTGGCTGGGGACCCTATAACATCAGCATCCCTTACAGGGACACTGCCGTTGTGTGCCAAGGTAGGAGCTGGGCTTGAGGGGAGTGAGGCTGTTCACGCACATCCCATGACACCGGCCCTGCACTGCTCCCACAGGCTTTTCCCAGCTGGTCGGAGGCGATGGAGCCTGTGCCGGGCGGCTGGAGGTGCGTCAGGGCCGGGCGTGGGTCGGTGTCTGTGCGGATCAGGTGGACATGAAGGTGGCGCAGGTGGTGTGCAGGGAGCTGGGCTGCGGCGAGGTGATCGGCATCGCCGGCAGTGGCCGTTTTGGGGCGGTGTCGGGATCGCTGTGGGACGGGGGCTTCCAGTGCCATGGCACCGAGCCCCTGCTCAGTGCCTGTGCCCGGCGTCCGCGCCACGACGAGGCCTGCCCCGGCCCTGGCAGCGTCATCTGCTCGTGTAAGTGCCGGGGACACCGGGGGGTGTTGGGGTCCCTGCGGCATCAGTGCTCTGACGGCCGCTCCCGTCACAGCCTACACGGGCTTCCGAGTGGCGAACGGCAGCTCGGGCTGCTCCGGGCGAGTGGAGGTGGCGGTGAGGGGCACGTGGGGCTCCGTGTGCGCCAGCGAGTGGGAGCTGCCCGATGCGCACGTCCTGTGCCGGCAGCTGGGCTGCGGCCGCGCCCTCAGCGTGGCCCCGGGAGGCTCCTTCGGCAGCGGGGAGGGGCCGCTGCGGCCGGACGCCTTCGGCTGCAGCGGGAGCGAGCGGCACCCGGGCGAGTGCCCCGTGGCCGTGCTGGGGAAGCTGCCCTGTGCCCCCGGAAACGCCGCTGCTGTCAACTGCTCAGGTGGGTATGGGGACCTGTGTGAGGAGCCTTAAGGGATTTTCGGACCCTGCCAAATGTAGAGAAGGTGGGAGATGATGCGGGCACTTGTTTTGACGAAGCGCTGAGTGGGGCCATTTTACAGGCACTGCTGAGTCCCTGCGGCTGGTGAAGGGTGAGACCCGCTGTGATGGGTTTCTGGCGTTGGCCAGAAGAACCGGGTACTGGCGCCGTGTGCCAGGAGAGGTTTCGCTCCTACGGAATTTGAGCAATGTGTGCTGGAAACTGGGCTGTGGAGGACTGGAGAGGAGTTATGTTGTCCATGGGAAGTCCTACCTGTGGGAAATGAGCAAATTGAGTTCCATCTTGAAATCGGTAGTCAAAAACATCGTGCAGATGACCACCGATCTGACCAATAGGACCATACCTGAGGATTATTTTGGGTATGATTACCGCTACATGACCACTGGACCAGCTGACACCCCTCATGGGACCAACATCGTCTGCTCAGGTGGGTGTCCCGGGAAGGACCGGCGAAGTGCCGGTGCCCCAGGCAGCCAGCCCAGCCCATTCCCTCCGTGCCCACAGGCAGCCTGCAGGTGAGGCTGGTGGGGAGCTCTGGGCGCTGTGCCGGGCGTGTGGAGGTCTATTCCGGTGGCGGCTGGAGCTGGGTGTGCCAGGAAGGCTGGGAGCTGCAGGACGCGGCCGTTGTGTGCCGGGAGCTGGGCTGTGGCACGGCCCTGGAGGCCCCGAGCTGGGCGCGGTTCGGGGCCGGCACGGGGCCGCTGTGGCCGTACATCCCCGAGTGCTCCGGGTCCGAGGAGTCTCTGTGGCGATGCGGGCGCACGGAACGGCGCGAGTGCGGGCGCGGCGGCGGGGCAGGGGCCGTCTGCTCAGGTCAGTGCCGGGCAGCCGCAGGTCAGGGCCCGGCAGAGCCCCCGGGGGGTTCCTGGCCGTGCCGTGACCCCCCTGCCCCCCTTGCAGAGCATCTCTCCGTGCGGCTGGCAGGAGGCCCTGGGAGCTGCCGGGGCTTCCTGGAGCTGTTCCACAACGGCACCTGGGGCCGCGTGTGCGCCAACGGCACCGGCCCCGGCACCGCCGCCGCCGTCTGCCGCCAGCTGGGCTGTGGGCACCGGGGCCGGCTCTCGGATGTCCCCGCCCTGGAGCCGACCGACGCCTGGCTGGCCTGGCTGGGCTGTGAGGACGGGGCCCGCTCGCTCTGGCACTGCCCCTCGGCACCCTGGCACCCGCAGAGCTGTGGCACCGGCGGGCACGCCCACGTGGAGTGTGAGGGCAGCAGTGCTGGCACCGCTGAGGGACACACCAGCCCCTCTCCGCAGGCTGCCAGCAGCACAGGTAGCTGTGCCCGTGCCTGCATCGCCCCGGCAGGCTGGCTGGGATCCGCCTGCCCTCGCTGCCTGCCTGTGTCCCCACAGGTGTCCCCCGCAGAAGGGCCCCGGCCGTGGCCGTGGGGACTGTGCCTGTGCCCACGGTGCTGTGCGTGGTGCTGGGGACGCTGCTGTGCCTGTCCCTGGGTGCCCTGGCCCTGCTGCTGTGCCGTGCCCGTGCCCGGCGCCCAGGTGGGTCCCGCTGGGTGGGGCTGGGCACAGATCCGGTTTGGGGCTCCAGGGGCCCCGGGCCTGCGGAACAGCTCCGAAGGTGGCCAGGGCTGGTCCCGGTGGCACCCAGAGTGCCCAGGGCCCCAGGTAAGTGCTGCAGCTCCTTCCAGGCCCTGGCCGAGCTGCAGATGCCATCTCCAACGCTGTCTACGAGGAGCTGGATTACAAAGCCATGGCCGAGTACCAGGAGGTGCCCACTCCCCCAGGTGGGTGCAGCCCTTGTGCCCCGGCCGTGCCCGCAGTGAAGGCTGTGCCTGGGAGCCCCAGGGCAGCTGCGGCTCCTGGTGGCCCAGCAGAGGCTCCTGGCCATGGGCAGTGGGTGTCCCTCGGCCCCAGAGCAGCCCCGCTCTGTAGTGTGCGGTTCTGTCACCGGCGGTGCCGCTCCAGGCCACCCCCAAGTCCCTGTTTATGGCCTGCAGGTTCCCTGTTGGAGGGATGGGTGAAGAAGCTGCCGTATTCCAGCGGGGACAGCGTGGAGGGGAGTGACAGCGAGGCAGCCGCAGGTAGGGCCACAGGGCAGGAACCCAGCGGGGAGAGCTGGGGACAGGGGACACACCCGGCCTGGGGGGGCTGAGGGGACAAATCCCCCCTTGTTAGTGTGCAGGGAAACATCCCCTTTCCCTGTGGGACCCGAGGGCCTCTGGCATGTGCCCAGGGGAAAGGCTGGAGGGGGTGGCACAGCCTGAGCCCTGCCAGTGCCGCTGGTCACTGCCGTGGGCCCCTCTGCTTTTCCCAGATCCCCCTGCCCGGCGCGAGCAAGGAGGCCCGGATGGCTACGACGATGTCCTGGCTGTGCCCCAGGAGCCCCCCGCTGCCAGCACTGGGGACATGTGCGAGGGAGTGGCACGGCAGAGCTGGATGTGTGTCCTCCCCACAGGTGAGAGGGCTCCCAGCTGCCCTGTCCCCTCGGCAGAGTCACTCCCTGCCAGGCTTTGGCTGTGGGGGCGGGCAGGGCCCCAGCAGCAGATCCGTGGCTGCCGTGCTCAGAGCCCAGGTGGGTCTGTCAGGGGGACACGGAGCTGCCTGCCCCCTCAGGCACCTTTCTGTGCTGTCCCCAAGGCGGGATCTACAACCCTGCAAATCCCCCAGCAGCCTCCGGGGACCCCTCGGAACAGCCCCCTGGACACATGGACTATGATGATGTCGGCAGCAGCGCCCCGGGGACGTTGCCCTGAGGATGCCCTGGCCATGTCACAGCCTTGGGGACATGAGTGTGGCAGTGTGGCGGGGCCCTGTCCCCAGGGAGGGCTGGCCCTGCCCTCAGAGCTCAGCCCTCGCTGTCCAGCGCTGCAGGAAAACAGCTGCTGTGCAGGGATTTTCTGTGATTTCAGTGTGACTTTCCCTTTTTTCCTATTAAAACCCAAACTGGTCAGAGACTCACTCCCAGGCCTGGAACCTCATTCTGGGGCTGGCACTTCCATCCCAGGTACACCAGCCATTCCTTGGGGATGTGAGGCAGGAACTGGAACCACAGCCAGATCCCTGGGATTGGTGGGCTGAAGGAGGAAGAGCCCAGATTTCTGGGATTGCCAGGTCTTTATTTATCACTGCCAAATGCCCACAACAGCTGCCAGCCACATCGAGGGGAAACGGGAGAGGGCAGGACCCGGATCCCCTCTGGCAGATGCAGCAGGATCTCTGCCCTGTGCCCCATAGGTGGGGCAGGCTCAGCCCCACTCAGAACTGGTTAGGGAATGGCTCTGGATGATGGAAGAACCCTTCCTTTCCTAAAGGAGGGGAGGTCTCCTGAAGGAGGGCAGCGCCTTCCTGCCCCCCGGCAGCACCCCGCGCTGGCAGGGCAGCCGGGCCATGGCCCCTGCCTGCGGCACCTGGTGCTCCAGGAGGTTCCCGATGTTCAGGGCGGGCTGCAGGGCCCGCAGGGCGTCCAGTTCCTGCAGCAGGGCCCGGCTGAAGCCGTCCGTGCTCAGCCTGGCCGTGGAGGGGGCAGGAGAAGAGGAGAAGGTGTTGGAGCTCCTCGTGGGGAGGGCGGCGCTGGGGCGGCTGCGGTGCCGCTGCGGCCCTGCCCGTCCCGCGGCCTGCGCTGCCCGGCTCGGGAATGCCGGGCCCGGGAGGGGCCGTGGCAGGGGCCTGACTCACCCCAGGTTCCTCAGCGGGCAGGCGGGATGCCGGAGCTGCTGGCAGAGCTGCAGGACGCCCTGGGCTTGCAGCTCGTTGTCGCTCAGGTGCAGGCGGCTGAGCCGGGCCCTGCAGCAGCCGCGCAGCCAGGGCCGGGCAGGAGGCGCCCGACAGCCGGCAGCTGCCCAGCCTGTGGGAGCCAGGGAAACAGGGAAGGAGGGCTCTGGCCTCTGCCGGCTGAGCTGCTCCAGCTGCCAAGGCGGAGCAGTGGCTGAGCTCCTCGCGGCAGCAGGGGCTGGCGAGGCGGCAGCAGCGCAGCCCAAGGAGAACCCCGGGAAAGACTCTCAGAGCCGACCTTGGCCCCCAGAGGTGTCCGTGGCCTCGGGGCCCGGGCAGCAGCCCCCCACTCTGAGAAAAACTTGCTCACTTTGAAAGTTTAATAATGTTTATTGGACCCTGACAAAAATACAACAGAAGGACTGCATAAGGTAAAATTTGCAGCACTGGGAACTGCCCTTGTGGATACCAGGTGGCTGATATGTCTTCAAGCTGGATGCTCAGTCTTTTCCATCCCAGGAGTTGCATCAGCCCGCCCTGGCCCTCCCGAAGTCTGTCAGTCAGCTCTTCTTTGCCATTTAGAAGCGAAGACTGCTTTCTTGTGACTGGATTGGAGGTCAGGTGTGGCCATGCCGCAGCCCCTAAGGAACAAGCTTTTCCATTGCCCACTGCCCCGTGCCAGGGGCACCTGTGCACTCCTTACCTATCCTAGACAACCCCGGCTGTCTGATGGCAACAATAGAGAGAGAGGGAAGGGAACAATGGGGAGACCAGAGGCTGTCTAAGCTATAATAACATAACTCTACATCACTAAAGCTTTTCTGAACACCCAGACAACAGTCATCCCTTAAGTGCGAGAGGCAATCATTTCGTTATCCATCTGTAACACGGCCCACGCGGTGCCCCCGGTCCGGGTGCCCTCCGCCGCCTGTCCCGGTGTGGGCTCCGTGCGGTGCGCGCGTCTCGCAGCGGAGCAGCCCCGGACAGTGCCCGGTGCCCAGCGCCCGGCAGCGCGGGGCCTGGGGCAGGGCAGCTGCTGCCGCCGCCGCACGGCGAGGCACCGGCGCGTTGTGCCCGTGAGGAGCGGCTGCGGTGCCGCTGCGTGGGCAGAGCTGCAGCTCCGGCTGCTCCGTTTGCTCCGCGGGACAGCCCGGGACGAGAGTCCGGGAAGTGCCGATCGTTTGCGTAACAAAGGGCCGGGAAAGCGAGGTCCCGGCCAGCTGAGGGACACTGAGAGAGACAGCGGGATTCGGGCAGCAGGAGGAAGAGAGACTTTAGAGTGGGCTTGTTGTACTTGGAACGCGAGAGGCTCAAAGCCCTGCTCATTGCCTGGAGCAATCCTGCGACTCGGCAGCTGGAGCTGTTTCTGCTTTCTGCGGCAGCAGCACTCGCATTTAAAGAGGCTGACACCTGCGGATGTGCCATGGGAAACCCGGAGTGGAAGTGGTGAGGAAACGTGAGGTGTGGCTGTGGGTGTTTGGGGAAGCTCCGGGGCCAGCGCGGGTCAGTGGAGCCCGAGCAGTGAAGGGCCGTGGGTGGGCGCAGCGCAAGTGGATCCGCGCGTTGGGAATGCGCTGCCAGAGAGTCCGGAGAGGGGCGAGAGCGGGAAGTGTCGTGCAGGGCGCGGCGGGCCGGGGGCGGCGGAGGCGCGGCGTTGGCGGCGGCAGTGGCTCGGCTTCCCGGGCCTCCTCTGCCCTCAAGAGCTTTGGCGAAGGGAACAGGCTGGTCAGCCTGGTCCTGGTGGACTGCAGTGGGGACGAGGCCACGCTCTGGGACTGCGCGATCCGTGGCTGGGGACCCTATAACATCA